TGAAACAATTTATATGCGACATTGCAATTTTTGGCATTTTCATGTTTGGACTGGAATCAGCGCCACGCCACGCCACCACAGTTGTTTATTATTATTATCCCGGCCTTCTGAGTTTTGAGTGGACACAGAATATAATAATAATCTTTCATAATTTGATTATACTGCTTATGATTGAATAAATTGAAAATTGAAAATTGAATAAAATTGAAACTACAAATTTTGTATTTTGAAGCACTGCCTTTTGGTTGGAGTGGAACTGGAAACTCGTTTGTTCTCCTACAGAGCAGAAAATTTTTTCAATCAATCAAATTCGGAAAAAAAATAGTTATTTTTCTAACAAGTGCGGGAAATACCATTTCTCGCAAGTGTTAAGTCTAGTACTCATAACAGCGAAATTCGAGATTAGACTCATACTAACGGGCAAGGTTGAAGGGGATTGTCAGGAACAGGATGACACCATTGGCGTACATTCGATTTTCACGGATTGTAGTCCTTCACTGGCTCATTGAAATAAGCAAAATCCACTTGAGGCTGTCTTGGCTGAAGAGGCACCGCATATCGTGTGTCTGACTGAATACTGGATGAAAGAGGATCGAATCAAGTTTCAACAACTGAAGAACTATGGCTGCAGAGCTCAATTTTCACGAAATCTCTCCCCTGGTGGTGGTTCTGCTATCTTCACTCCAGATTCATTAAATGTTCAGCCTATATTGACTGTAATTTTAATGTTGAAAAATGTATCGAAAGTTGCTGTGTTCTTATTAATAATTCCAATCTATAAGTTTTAGCAATTTATAGGCCTCCTATGGGTTGCTTTGATACTTTTTAAAGCAAATTTGATGATCTCCTAAGAAGATTTGATAAACAAAATCATGTCGTGCTGACCGTGGACTTCAATGTGCATTTTGAGATTCCTTAAAGGGAAGCACTGCTACTCTGTGATCTATTAAAAAGCTATGGCTTCGAGTACAAAATTGCAGGGCCTACTAGAGGTAACTCATGCTTGGACAATATTTTCATCAATTTCACTCCCAATATCTTAAACGCTTACTCCATTGAATTCGAACTTTCAGACCACCATTTTGAACTTAGACAGTCCAGACCACTCACTCAGACTGGTATGTTTAATTTTTATAATCTGATTGAAGCTTGCTCATTTGACTTTGTTGATGATGCAACTATCAAATTTGTTAAGTTGATTTGATTGGAATACTGGAGAAGTCTTACTTGCATTCCTTTCCATCAAAGACCTTTAAAGTTAGAATCATTGACCCTGGTAGTGGCTCCTGGTTTGACAACAATTTAAGGATTATGCGTGATCAGATCAGTAGGCTTGGTGAGATCAGTAGGCAATATGAAAGTCCCGCTGCCATCCAAGAGTACAAATCCTATAAAAGAACTTACACAAATGCAATTAAAACAGCAAAAACAGCATATAATAATAACATAATTCTGTACGCAAAAAATCCCGTTAAAGCAATGTGGAAAATCGTAAACAAATCGAGAAATGTAGACTAACGCGAGGAAGTTAGTTCGCTTCTCTCACCTAGTGATTTCAATAAATACTTTTGCAGCATTGCACAGGACCTCACTAGCAGGATTGGTCCAAGCGAGCTTGGTCCTTTACATTACCTAAACCACATGATTTCTCCACCTAATATTTTCAACTTCTCTCCTGTATCCTGCAGTGAAGTTAGGGATATCATAGACAACATTAAAAATAAGGCCAGCAGTGATATCTTTGGTTTGAGCATCAAATTGATCAAATTCATTTAAGAATATTATTATCATTCCCCTAACCAAATTAATTAATTCCTGTTTTCGCCAAAATGTTTTTCCTGATATTCTGAAGAAAGCTCTTGTCGTACCTGTCTTTAAAAAGGGTGACAAAAATGAAGCCACAAATTACAGGCCCATCTCCCTTCTGCCGGTATTATCTAAGATTGTATCTTTCCACAATGGAGCATGGCTTTGAGGTTGGTGAAGTGCTTCGAGGAGAACCGATGCTTTACTGAATGCCAGTTTGGTTTTCGAGCGAGCAGATGTACTACATTGGGTATACTGAATCTCACTAATCTCCAGTTTAGTGCTGTGCTTTTCTGTGACTTAAGTAAGGCATTCGACTGTGTTTCCCATGAAATCTTGCTGAGCAAGCTAGTACACTATAATTTTGGTACAGACAGTATTAAACTCATCAATTCTTATCTGGAAAACAGATCCCTAATTGTCAGGGTGGGTGGGGACGGTGGGGTGTGTTCTGCGGAAAGGGTTGTAAATATAGGTATGTCCCAAGGGTCTGTCCTGGGGCCGATCCTATTTTTAATCTATGTAAATGATCTCCCCTTTAACAGTGATCAAGAAAAATACACCCTTTTTGCGGATGATACCACAGTCTCCATGTCAGCGGGATCGGTTGATCAGGCAGTCTCACAGCTTGAAGCCACTCAGGATAGAGTGAGGGACTGGTTTAATGCTACTAAGCTGTTCCTGAGTGAAGACAAAACAGAGAGATTGATTTTCTCCCTCAGAGACTCTAGAGGTATTACTGAAAAAGGGAAGATCGTTCGCTTTCTTGGAGTACTCATTGACCCCACTCTGAGATGGCATGCGCAAATTGATCAAGTTTCAACAAAGCTTAGCAGGGCTCTCTTTGTCCTTCGTAATCTCTCCCAGAGTGTCTCAGCTCAGGTAATGTTCTGAAAACTTTGTACCATGCTATATTTCACTCTATTATGACATATGGTGTTTTGGTTTGGGATCACTTCCCCCTTGTGGACAGACTTTTTAGACTTCAGAGAAAAGCTATCCGATCCGAATCTAGGCTGGGTTGGGCTTCAGGGAGGACTGTAGAAAGGCCTTTGGGAGTTTAAATATACTTACTTTACCATCTCACTACATACTTGAAAATCTGTTGTATGTGAAGGACAATGAAAATAAATTCAGGGTGCATGGTGGAGTCCACAGCTATGACACAAGACAGAAAAATTTGATCATCCCAGCTTATCATAGGTTAAAAAGGTGTCAGGACGGTCCAGGCTTTCTGTCAATTAAATTCTATAACATGCTTCCGAATTCCATGAAAAGCTTAGAACGGGGCAAATTCAAGAGTAGGATTAAGCAACTTTTATGTTCAAATTGTTTTTACTCATTTGAAGAGTTCCTTAGGTATAAGTTTTACGCTTAATTTATAAAGTCGCCGTCTGGATTCCGTTTTCGTCTGCGTTTGCGCCCGCCTCGCTGGTTACCGTAGTCTCTTATGCTGACGGCGAACTGTGGAGCCGACGGCGACTGTAAATTATTTTATGGGATTTCTTATATTCAATTTGCTCGACGCAAACGCAAACGGAATCTCGACGGTGAGTTTATAAATTGGGCTTTAGACTAGAGTGTCCTTTTGACAACAAACTTTGCTGTGATTTGTATCCTACTGTCTTGTATTTTTAATTGTATTTTAACTGTACCTACTGTTTCTTAAGTAAGCTTGTGAATATCGGATCTTTACAATATTTTTTTTTTTTAAGTTTTTAAGTTTCAACTTACAACTACAGACTGTGCATAAATTGTATAATTTTACTACTATTTTTTTTTCTATGACGAATGTAAGTACTTATCGAGGTACTTATGTATAATAGCACGAATAAATTGAGTATTGAGTATTGAGTATTGATAAAAATCGCTGAAAATCTCAGCTTTCTATCTATAATAGAAAAAAATTATGATTTTTCAAAGTTTTCGAAAATACAAATCATATAGGCTTAAGAGAGAATTTAATTTTTTTTTTTTTGATGTGATTTTGTGTCTAAATGATCATTTGGGACCCACCCCTCAAACTCCATACACTAAATTATTCTGAGATTTGGAAAAATTGATAAATCACCCCAAATTGCTTTATTTCTCTACTGGGATGAGAATCGCTGAAAATTTCAGCTTTCTGTCTATAATAGAAAAAAAATTATGATTTTTTAAAGTTTTCAAAAATACAAATCATTTATTTCAAAAAAATTCAAAAATTTCTGATTTCAGTCAAAAAATATAAATTCTTTTGAAAATTTATTTACATTTACATTTATTTCAGATCAATAAACATTCTTCCATACTACATTTACTATATGCCAACTTATCATTTAAATCGAATACATACATTGTTAAAAAGAACCATGATTTTTGTCAATCCGGATTCATACCATAGAAAAATGATTTGACTTCGCTTAGCCAGAACACAGATTAATCACCTTAACACTGCACTGTTGACCCGGCAAGAATGATTCATTTAGTTAGAGCATTGAAACAAAGACACCATTCACATGGGATGCAATCAAACTTCAATTATATTTACTTAATAACACCGGATGTTTGTCCAGCAAACTCAATAGGCCATAATTAACGAATGAGCTGGTTTTATGAAAAACTTAAGAAACGCTTACCTAATCAACATTTTAAATATCAACAACTTTTGGCTTATTTTAAGATGCATTATCCCTTCATTCTCCCCTTCATTATTTCATAATTATAATGCCCACATAAAATGTGTCAATGACCAATAGGGAAGTGAACAGTGCTCATGCCTCATGGATCATCAATTATTATTAATGCATGAATGGCATGTTTCTTTTTCTTATTGGAATACCTAATTTCCGCATTCTCTGTATAAATTTCATTTTATTATTACTTACATACGATTTTTATCAAATCAAATAAAAAATTCAAATTCAAATAATGTAATCTTAAACCATTCACTTATCTAGGCACGATTCGGTATAAAAAGTGCTGTTTCACTTGAAAAAAAAGTGCGACTAAGCAACTTAAGAAACAACTACAATAATAATTAACAGCAACTTAGCAAAACTGTAAATTATTTTTAGAAAATTGGTTTAACAAATTATTACAAATATTTGATCAACCAGAATCTAATAATTTATATAATCACAAAATTAACATACTATAGAATAATCCTTTTTCAATATGGTTAAAGTAATGAATTATTATGACTCAAATCTTACCTGCAATTTGCCTCGAAGCCTTATTAACCCTCCTGGAAAACGTATCAAATTGATCCCCTTTCTCGTTGTCCATCTTTTCAAATCCAGCCTGCTCTATCACTATGTTCACATCAGTCACCGACTCCTCTGGAACAGATTTATCTGGATCGGTACTCTTGCCGATATGCCTACGAGGAGTTGGCACTGGCTTTTTGCCCTCTCTGGGCGCTGGTACTGGCCGTTCCATTTCAAAAATCCTTTCATTACCTCCTCATGACTAATGTTTATTAATTACCGTGTCGCAACAATTTACTTTATAACAAAGAAACAACTTGCAGGCAAGATCATAATAAATAATAATGTGAAATTGGAGAAATTTCATAAGTGAATAATTTATATGTGTGAGTCAAGATTAAAAGTTATCTGCGTTAATATGACGCATCAATTTTCGTCAATAATATAAAAATCACAGCTGTGTTGCTTATCACAATAAACAATTAATGATAAATTATTGTTTTTTTTTTTAAATAAAGTGAAATGAATGTCCTTGGCTAATGCGCAAGCGCAAATCGGCCATTTCATTTCTCGTGACATTAAACGGCTGATTTTTGATGGGTGCATTCAACGGACGTAGCTTTTATGACTATGTGAAAGTCAATATTTGACGTTTCATTTGTCAAAATTCATGTATTATGGAAAAATCACAACAAATCAGAATAATTCCATATTTTTCCATTAAAGACGATGTCCTCCATAAAATCTATTTGGAAATGTATGTTCTCGCCGAAATTATATCAAATATATGGAAATGGTCCTGCTGAGGTGTGTAAATTGTTTTATAATTTATTAATTCTCATTTAATATTTATACATTTGCAGAGAATCTATGAGCCACTACCATTGGAGAGATGGGGAGACTGTGTCATTAATTCTGTGAGTTCGCTGTTTTTTCATTCATAATTTTCATTGTTTTAATACTCCATAATTAGCAAAGGGTAAACCACCCCCTGAATATTCATGCAAACAATTCCTCAAACTAACTGCAAATTCCTCCAAACTACTTGTGTATTCCTGTTACAAATTCCATAAATACATATCCCCAAAATTGTTCGTGATAGGTATTTTCTATTTTTATTTGCTCAGTGTTAAAACCAACAAATTCCCCCAATTTTATTTATTTATTTATTTATTAATACATCTTCACAAACGCCATAAAGGTAATTACAAGCAAAGGTAAAATCAAGGGCAAAAGAACAAAGAGAGTAAAAAAAAAACAATTATTATGAACTTAAAACTAACACAAAAGACTAAAAGAGTCAAAAGACACACAATAAATAGATAAAATTCTCCTAATTCTAACAAGGAAACTAGGTAACACAACAGATCAAGATATTAAACCAATTAACTGAGAGATGCTAGTGTTGAATATATATCAAATGGGTTTTCCCTGTTTACGATATTGCACTGTTCCATCATTTTATTTAGACGAGATAGTTCATACTGACTAGTTTTAAAAACATCTATGCTAAGAATCCTTAAGTTAATTTTAGGTACCCTGAAATCCATAAAATTAATACAATGTTTGTACTTTATATTATTGATTATATAGTATATGTATAGACATAAATTTATCCTTTCAGAAACATATTTCAACTCTTCTAAAAAAAAGTTATATGAAAATGAAACTGCTATACGCGAATAGATATATATTAAACTTTAAAACTAGGAAAAAATTATGTGAAGCTCTCATTATGTCTATATATTCTTATTGTTTTATAGTGTACTACCCATTTTTGAATGCCGTTACTAGGAAAAGAATTCAATATGTCCAAAATACTTGTTGTAGATTTGTATATAAATTAAGAAAGTTTGATCATGTTTCTGCTAATATTAAGGCGTTGGGTTGGCTCAAATGTGATAATAGTTATAATTATAATATTACAGTATTTTTAAGAAAGTTAATAATGAACAAAGAACCTATTTATTTGTATGAAAAACTTACTTTTAGAGAGGCTGTGCATAGTCGTAGTTTAAGGGATAAAAATTTTCTAACAATGCCACATCATAGAACTTCATTGTTTCAACGGGGTTTTACTTATAATTCTGTGAAATATTTTAACAAATTACCTGGGCAATTTAAAGAGTGCAATTTTAGCTTTCTGAGATCTAGATATAAGCAACATTTGTTAGCAATACAGTAGTTTATATAAGTTTAGTAAGGAATAAATTTCTCGAGTAGTATTGGAGCTGGATGAAAATGTTCTTAGGGCTTTAGTGTTGTTTCTGTGACTAGGTATTAGTGGGTCTGGTGCAAGTGGTTAAGTGGAAGAATGGCCACAAGGTTAAACTTCGCCATTTTGTACCCTTCGTGAAGTTAAATAAAGGCGATATTTATTTATTTATTTATTTATTTAATATCACAGCTTGTTCATTTCTTCTTTGAACAGGGTGCTGCAATTTGGATTGTTTTAACAGGAAAAACACACTTCCCGACCAGATAGAGGAAAATTGACAAAGATGTCATGGAATCGATTTTCGAGAAACGTCGATTGTCAAAAACCGTATCGCGATATCTTCAATGGTACCATTGATACAGGGCGATTTTCGATTTTCCCCTATTATGAAAAATGGCTATAAGTTTTTTATTTATGATTTTTTTTTATTTTTGCAAAAGCATTATGGAGACACTTTTTTGAGCACAATCCAGTGGCGGACTCGGTTTTTTTCTATATCGCTCCGATTCCGAGATATCGACCAAATTCCGATATTTTCAAATAAAGCACCCTATATTAATAGCTCATTAGATAGCTCTGTTTTTGCTGATTTCGATGATATAAAGTTCGATAGGTTTATCTCTAACAGTTTTCGAGAAAAAAAATTATATATGTTTCGGTCATAAGAAATAATGTGTTAGACAGAGACCTTCCTCATCCTCCTTACTAGAGGTGGGTTGCGATTTCACGAACTGTGACTTTGTCACTGCTACTCGTCTGTCACAGTCACGGCCTGCTCCAGTCCCAGTCAAGTAGCAGTGACATTTTGTCACTGCCTGCTTCAAGCTCCGACCGATGCAGCGCGGACAAAACTCGAGCTAAGTGATGCGAACGAAATAATATAATATTAAAAATCGCATCGCAGTCTCGCCAAATAAAAACTGCTACAGCAGAGGACAGGCCAGAAACTGGAACATCTTTCTCGGCCGTGACTGATGACTGTGATTATGCCATGTTGCGACATAGCATTACCATAATATTAGCAGTACGGCCGTCAACCAAGGTAAAACTGCTCCAAAAAATCACTGCTATTTGTCACAGTGACACGACTGGAGCAGTCACGTCTTGTCACAGTTCCATTAAAATCGCAGATTGGCCCACCTCTACCTTACACATATAAAATCCTTTTCTAACACATTGGTCCTTACGACAAAAACAGATATAATTTTTTTTCTCGAAAACTGTTAGAGATAAACCTATCAAACTTTATATCATTGAAATCAGCAAAAACAGAGCTATCCACTGAGCTATTAATATATAGGGTGTTTCATTTGAAAATATCGGAATTTGGTCGATATCTCAAAATCGGAGCGATATAGAAAAAAACCGAATCCGCCACTGGATTGTGCTCAAAAAAGTGTCTTCATAATGTTTTTACAGAAATAAGAAAAATTGATAAATAAAAAACTTATAGCCATTTTTCATAATAGGGGAAAATCGAAAATCGCTCTGTATCAATGGTACCATTGAAGATATCGTGATATGGTTTTTGACAATTGACGTGTCTCAAAAATCGATCCCATGACGTCTAAGTCAATTTTCCTCTATTTGGTCTGCAAGTATGTTTTTCCTGTTGAAACACTCCAAATTGCAGCACCCTGTACACTGGATTTTATATGGAAACTGTTTAGCATTGCCCCATATGAAACCAAAAACGGGTACACTCCATTTTGCCTAACCACAGGAATCTCAAGAAACGCTTTTGAACTTTTTCAATATGATTTATATGACATTGAGCCAGTGGCATCCAGATTTGAGCAGCATACTCCAAGTGTGGTGTCACTGGAGCATTGTATAGTTGAATTAGTGTTTCCATACTCTGATCTTTATCATTTCTTAAGATGAAGCCAAGGCACTTGCATGCCGTATTTGCTGTATATATATTTCTCATACATTCCTCCAAATTCCTATAGATTCCTTCAAGTTTCTCCCCACATATTCCTCCAAATTCCCCACAAATTCCTCCAAACTCCCCACAGTTTTGGCAAAGTATTCCTAGGTGATTTGCTCCTTGAAGGTGAACGATTACCAGACAGAATTTTCATCTTCTCTTCTGATTGAAAAAAAAGGAAATTCAAAAGCTTGGAAAAAAAAAAGAAAAAAGAGTTTGAAGATAAAGGTTAATACGTGGGGTAAACCGCGGTCAAAAAATCAATTCACAATCCCCTTGCAATCCATTGAAATCTTGCAATCATATCTGAAATCATGTGTAGCTCGATTGTAAGCATCTGAAATCCATGTTGTAATTAAATCAGTGTTCAATCTGTACAACTAAGAATTTATTACATATTTCCAGTAGAGACCATAAAGATTCAAAATCGTTTTTTTCAATGCAGCTTCCATAGTTTTGAAGCTTCAAAGTTTTTTTACTTGGATTTTGATCAAGGTGGATGAGCAGAAGGATTTTTTTTTTCATACATTCCAATCTTTTCTCACTGCATTTCAAAATTTCAATGCAATCCCTGCAAAATTTTCCTTAAAGAAAGATAAAACCTCGGGTATTACATCGGCAATGGATAACGCACACCTATCATGGGATTTTTGGGCTCTATGGATTTTGCCCATTTTTTGATATGTTGTAGAGGATTTAATTCTTAACAACCTTTAAATGGGACAAAATCTTGTAGGTATTATGGTCTTTGAGATATGAGCGGTGAAAGATGAACTTTTTTGCGACTTTTTGTGTGGAGAGTATACGAAAAACCGGTGTTTATCAGTCAAAATATTGACAGTGCGACATATTTCACGTCACTAACAAATGTCAACATAGGCTAAGGCCGGGACCGCACTGGCACCAACATTGACCCCAGTGCGGTCCCGGCCTTACATTGATTTGTAGGTGACGTAAAATATGTGAACCTGTCAATATTTTGACTGATAAACACCAGTAGCAGTAGCACCAGTATCTCGTATACTCTCCACACAAAAAGTCGCAAAAAAGTTCATCTTTCACCAGGGTTCATACTTCTGACATCGAACACGCCATAACTTGAAAAAAAAAAGGGTTGTCGTAGATTAATTCATGACACATTAATTTTTTTTGAAAGATTAAAATGAATGACTTCTGGTTTAAGAACCGACGAACGTTTTTGACGTCATTGATTTGCTTCAGTCAATTTCTATTTGTTAAAAAAGGAAGGCAAAAAGTATGAACTCTTGTGAAACAAAGTTTACAATATTTTGTCCCATTTAAAGGTTGTTCAGAATTAAATCATCTACAGCATATAAAAAAATGGGCAAAATCGAGGGGTGTGTCACTTCTGGAATTACATGTACATTTTCTTGATTGTATTGTGGAAGTCACAGGAATTCACTTAGTAGTCATTGGAAGTTTGGCAGTCAGTGGCGGAATTCCACGTAGTCGCTAGAACTCACTTGACAGTCGTTGGAAGTCGCGCGGTAGTCGCTGGAAGTCGCGCGGCATTCATTGGTATTCACGACAATTTTGAGGAGTTTGGTCGCGGCATTCGCAGTCACTTGCCACACGCTTTTGATCGCGAATTTGATGTGTGCAATATTTATATAGAATCCTCAATAGAAAGATTTGTTTAATTGCTTGACATCATAATTTGAAACGTAAGTGACGTAGTAAGCAACATGAAAAACTTGTAGAAGCCTGAGCACAGAGATTCAACGCAGATGAGCGTTTGGAAAATAATT